TAATGCTCATGTGAAAATCCACTGTGTAAAGGTTGCAAGCCACAGCTTACAAAGCAAAGAGGAGGAATATATAAGATCTTTGGACAGCACCCCGATCTTCAAAACGAGGATTTAATTTACTGTATTTTATGCACCTCGCTACAGCCAAATTGCCAGTCCTTAACTACTGAACAACAGCAGCTTTGGACCTGATCAGCCTTGTTTAGTCATTCCCACGTTTTAAGCAACCATAAAAAAGATTCAGCACCCTGCCATACCACAGCAGTAGCCATTTCACACCTGTCTGCACTGAATTTGTTTAGTTTAGCAGCTTTGGAATTTGTTGTATAGTTAAGCTAAATAATTAGCTATTAGCTCAACAGAACACATATATGAATATTTAGGTACTCCGATAAAAACTTGGCTGAGGACTTTTATTTTCTGTATCCTGAACCATGCTTTGTGGAGCTTGTCTATTAATCTGAATTGACTAGCAGAGCTGACAAGCACAAGCAGGTCAGTCAGGGCAAACTAAAGAGTCCAACCTAAATATGCCATTAACTGGAATGCAGAGAAGGGGACCAAGCCCCAGGAGCCCTCTGCAATCTTCAGATTAGTAGTTCTGCAACACATTTTAGTTCTCTCATAACTGATATATCATACAAACTTAAAAATGTTTACTGTAACTGATATGATATCATACAAACTTAAAAATGTTTACTTTTAAATAGTCATCACCTACTGCTTCAGATACTGACTGTCTGCTCTGACCACAACAACCAAATCTTGCCCATTTGTGAGCGCTCCTCAAAATTTCAGGTAAGAAATATTTTCCTGGAGAAAAATAATGTTGATCATTTCTACTTTCTGTGAAATCACATCCGATTCCACATTGGTATCCTTAAGGGGACATCTCCGTATAAATGCAACTATCAATAACAATCAGATAAGATTTGCTTGGAGTCTAGATTTAAATAACACCATCTAATACTGAATGGATATTTGTACATACATTTGGTTGGAAAAATTAGGAGTGGAAAAAATATGCACATTGCTTTCTTCCTCCCATGGAAAGCGAATGTATTATCAAGTCAGATGCTAAACTGAAAATTTGCTAACTTGATTTCATAATTAGCGAAGATGAAGAGGTGTTAAGTTCATTTCATTTCTTTCAGCAATGCTGAGAAGCACTAAATGCTTTCAAGAGTTGCTGTTACAATAAACATTCAAAACTCATTTATGTGGAAACGGAATTAAATGGAGCTGTAAAGGAAACAAAAAAGAGGAACAACTGCTTCCTTAACAAAACTGTGATTTCTTTTTTATGCCAAGTCCTTTACATCAGTCTTGGATTAATTTCTCTCATTGTAATTCCAATTAAAATGACATTTTTTCAGAAACTAAGATTAAAATAAAAAAAAACTCTAAAAAAGAGTAATTCCTAGGAGAAAATTCTTTGCTTTTTAATACTTTTCTTTATATTTTAAAAGACATATTTTAGGAACGTGTTTTAGAGCTGTTTGACGATGATTTGAATACAGAGCTGTGCAATTTTTGCTCAGCTCAGAAACTCGTTTTCCCAGATAAATCAGTTCTACAAATACTGAATTTACTCTTCCTGAAATGACTGATTTTTGGCCATACATTTCTGCGAATAAAAATCTTTTAAATTCAGTTAGAATTAATAAATCACATGAAGAGACTTTAGAAAGAGCTCTGTTGAGGTCCATATGAGTTAGAGGTAAGTCTGAACTCAACCTATGGAAGAACAACAGAGGAAAACAGGCATGAGGAATTTAAAGTTAGTAATTGTTATAACTGAACTACTGAATAGAAATGATGTCTTAGTAATGACAACGTAGACAGTTCTGTTACCTAGAAATCTAACAGAAGAACTATTTTATAGTTTTACACAGGAAGGCAAGAGCATTTGGCCTGTTTTGTTGAAAGTCTGTTTCAATTAAACATGCATAAGTGATATGCAATTCTGAAAAATATCTCAGCACTCTGCAGAGAAGCCCTGATGTTAAAAATCACCCCTTGTTTAGCCAAACAGCACAAGTTCTTTCCACTGAAAGAAATAAAGAAAAAAAATATTTCAGAGGAAAATGCAGGAATATTTGAAATTAGGAGTCAATAGATACAACATAGACATAAATCATTAGAAAGAATGGAAATGTTCACACCAAACATAAATCAGTTCTGGGTGATATTTTCCATTGTCAGTGGCATATGATGATGCTGACAGTATTTTAAGGCAGAGGACTACACTAGGCAATAAAGATATTGCCAGTGTTGTGGGGTTGGAGGAGGGAAATAAAGCAGAGTTGAGATCCCTATTGACCTCACGTCAAAATAATTTTGACATTATTTCTTTGATTAAAAAATATTCACACTAAAATATTTTAGGATATAGTGATGCTTGACTTAAATGTTTGAAAGCCCTGTGATTGCATTTGACTCACTTCAAAGACAGAATAACTGTTACACAAGAAATCACCTCTGAGAAAGGCCAGAGAGACTAAGAATGAGCTTAATACTCAAAAATTCTATTTATCTTTATGAAGGGATAAAGCTTTTTTTTTGTCCAATTTTTTAATGGCTATTGGAAGTTTCTAAGTACCTGTTTCTGTTTTGGGAATTTTTCATACCTGATCTGACCAATCTATACCAGCAGAGAGTAATGGCATGGGAAAGAGAGAGGCATTTTTATTCAACAGCAAATAATAAGACAAGACTTGCAATACTTTATAGCCCTTCATTTTTCAGACTAATTTGTATCCTACAAATTAACTGTCCATGTCAGAGATTACAAACTTAAAATCCTGTTCTTTCTCTAATAGGCTAAACGCAGAACAGCTGGCACAAACGTTTTAAATTCTTAGCACATTCTCTACAACAGTGACTAGTAAAGACTAACACAGCTAGGAAGTTATGATCTCTTTTTACCCACAGTTTGAGAAAACTGCAAAGTCAAAACTGAAGGACCTGTCCACCAAATACAAGACACGCTCCACACGTCTCAGTAGTTCTAGCACGGATTACAACTGCAATACGGGAGTTAGGACTGTATTTTTTCTCTTCATAGGAAAAAAATAGCTCTGAATTTTTGAACCTTAAATAAAGGGGTTCACTTAAATAAAAGGTCTGTGTCCCCATTAGCTAGGCTCAGTTTTTTCAAGATAATTGGCAGCCAAGACTAGCAGCAGGTTTATGAGCAATATTCTGCTTCAGAACTCAAGACTGTATAAGGCAGCCATGGCATATATTGAAAGGAACACACAGCATGATGTGCATGCATCTTGACTCAGAGCCAGCATAAACTAGAAAACAGCAGCGGGAAGGGGAAGGAAGGAAGCTGCATGCAAACGTAAGAAGAATAGAAAAAATATTATGTTAGCAATAAAACTAAACCAGTTTTACTGGAAGGGAGAAAGAAAGAAAGAGGAAGCATAACAAAGAGAAAGCATATCTCCTTTCACATGTCTACTGATTCATTGATACCAATTGATTCATTGATACCATGTTATATTTTTCCATTTTCAGACCAACTGATATCAAACAGGGGAATTCTTTCTAATTAAGCAATATGACAAATTAACATCTATTTGCTAAGCTGATGTAACTCATTTTATCTCACTATGGTTATACAAAGGAAAACCATTTTTAACCTCTACTACACCTTTGTTTTCTTTTGACAAGGCTATCTATCACCAAGAAAATTCCAAGTTCATAAAACTGGAGAGCCAACATTTCCAAGATAATGTACCTCATGCAGAGAATCAGCCTTGCTAATCAGTTTTTCATGTTGTATCAATATTTGTTTTAATATGGAAATACTTTATCACATACTCTAGGACCACTGTGGAGCTCTTCCTGGAAGTCATGTGGATCTGGAGAGTAAGAGACTGCATCATCATCAGTGTGAAAACACAGAAAACAAGCAAAGCAGATCAGCAATCCAAGCAGATACAGATGGATAACTAATTCCGTGACGCACAGTAAGAGCTAGATTTTTTACAATAAGGTGTTAAAATATCCTATTTTATGAAGAACATGAGAAAACTTTATGTACGACCTTGAAATTTCAGGCTCTACAATGTAAAACATTCTTTTTCTTGGATAAAGATGATAATCTGCAAATTCCTGTTTTTATATACTGAACAATGGTCCACTGGTAGTCAGGTGCGGTTCCACTTTTCAAAACAACAAATCTAATGGAATCTATGAAAATCTTTTTTTTTTTTTTTTGAAAAAAATGGGAAAAATGTATCCTATGGGTAATAAATCATTTTCAGGAATAGAAAAAATATTTTTCTCAAGATGGAAGGCTGATGTAGGAGTTTCCCCTTTGAGCATAAGAAATGAAAATTTTGTACTTTGTGAAGTCAACTAAGGTCATGATTAATATAGCATCCATTAATTAGTTTGCTGCTATCACGAAAGCTTTTCTTGCCATTCCCACTGATGAATGAGGGAATATCTCAGCAGGTAAACATGCTTGATACTTCCTTAATCTACTGCACTGCTACAGCCAAAAATAAGAAACAAATTGGGATACAGAGTCAAAATTATTTAGAAGAAAGCTTACTTGTTATAAAGGAATATGAATTAAGAATAAGCTTAAAAAGTTACATATATTCTGAACTGATGTGTTCCATAAAGATAAACATTTTCTTTGCTAAGAGAAGCCTTTAGGGAACAAATACTTATTTCATATGCCTTCCATTTGCTGTTCAAAAGTCATTTTACATTTCCACTGTAGCTCTGCCTTTTATTTCCTTCAGTTCTCCTTGCCTTGGTTAGATTAGAGAGGTAGGGTGTTAATGGGGTACTTGATGAAGATTGAAGACCTATTTTCTCCCCCCGCCCTGGAGACCAGCCTGATTTGAACAAATTGAGGATAGTGAAGCAGTCTTTTCATGTCCTTGGGAAGCCTTTTCCATTTCAGCATTTCCAGCTTCCAGGCATGGTCCCCTTCGTTCAATGAAAGAAAATTTTTTTTTTAAAAAAAGGAAAGAAAAAAAAAAGGTGCCAGCACAAGAAGGTTGTGAATAATTTCATATAATGTCACTGGGTCTTCCAAAGCTCCCTTTCAGTCCTTTCTATGGTTGGTGAGCATGTGTACGCGAGGTGGATCCAGGAGGGGAATGCAGGGAACTGGTGCTAGAAGCTCGAACGGGGCGAGCAACAAGTTGTTGTCCTCCAGCCCCCACATCTGCTGCTGCCACGTCCTTACTGCCCTCATCCTTGTGGGTGCTGCTCTGTGCTGGGCACTCAAAATGCACACAGTGAAACACCTGGAGGGAGAAAAAAACATATACATCTTAAATACTAAATGCTTAAATAATAACTGTTGGCAAAAGCATGATTAAAATAAAATGAATCTATACAGAGGCATGCAAGCTGGATCAGTGCCAAAATGCTGCCAAAATACAAATTAAAATGTTAATCATGAGACCCAAACCATCTGTCCGTGTACTGCAAACAGCAAAGTACTAGAAGGTCATCAAATTATTCAAACCTTTATGCACGGCACTGAAAATCAGACCGATTTTTCCAAAGGAACATAAATACCTACTATCAGACAACATGCTATTGGATAACAGCAACAATAATATTAATTGTCATAAAAATACTTACAATCTATTTACAAATTCCTCAAAAGACTAAATGTTCACACACACCAGAAATGAAATTTTCATAATTCTCCATATAATTCTGTTTTCAGATTGCCCATAGCTATAATCCATAATACCTCTGCAGACTTATCCTGGACTATGTAGAAATGCCTACAGAGTGTCCAAGCAGACTGCTCCTTCACTGAATGAAATGCTAGGTTTGAAACACAGATCAGTTTCTGATATTTCAAGTATCCCTTGCACAGGTGATAATCTTAGAGCAAGAGAACCAGCTCTTTAAACATTTTATCAATTTATTTTCTATCTTACTCACTGTTACGTAAACATTCTTGTAGTGTTTGGGTATAGAAGGGAATAAACTGTTTTGAAAGATCACTAAATTTCTTTCCATATCATTTCTCATGGCTGTAATTGCACAGTTTTGCCACACACTAAACAAATAAACCTTTTCCTACATTAATCAAAAATTTGCTATTTTCTCATGTAATGTAACGGCTAACGCTTGATGAACATTAAAAAATGAATTTTAAAGTTGCTTGCTTTAAACTTTCACTGAGTTAATTTTACATTCTTTCATGGCATCTTCTATTCTTTTTATAACTTTATAAATTCAGGTCTTTAAGTTTCCCCTCACAAACCGGGATAATCTCTTATAATCCTAACTGCCCTTTCCCACACCCTTTCAAGTTAACATGCACAAAATCAGATACTATAGACAAGACATGAGTATACTACAGATTCTTTTTTTTATCCTTTCTTTCCTTTTTTTTTAAAACCATTTTAAACAACTAAAAATTGTATTTTTCTTTTTGACTGTCCTTGCACAAGTGCACATTGAGCAGACATTTGCAATGACGTGTCTGCAATGGGTCTTTTCTGGGGAGGTAGCTATTTAATTCAGATTCTGACAGTGTGCTTGAAACCAATAAAAATTATTCACAGTCACTGCATTTTTTTTTTAGCTTCATTGTACCTTTTTGTGCCTCTCAGTGTAAAAAATTTTTATACATAACATATATTACAAATATATCTACACACTTACATACGTATGTACACACAACAAACATATATACATACACACATATATCCACAAGCACGCACACACACATATAATAGCTTTCCCCTGCACACACAAAATGGTTTTTCCCTGAAGCACTGTACTGAATTTTCTAAAGTCTAATTTTTACCGTAATATGAATTGTTCCTATTTATTATAGTTTTTGAGAAGTCAAATTTTCTTACAGTTATATTTCTTGAGAAGCCCCTTTCATGCTCTTACGCTTTTGAAGTGACAGCTATTGTCATTTTTCCAGGAACACTCATCAGCATCAGGAGTTCCAAAAAAAACCCAATAGCTCATCAATTCATCTGTGTTACACACTGCTTTTCTTGAAAGGCAGTATAGTCTAATGAATAGAAGGAAGGTCTACAAGTCAGAAGAGTCTGTATTTCTACTGTATCCTAAGCCAACGGTTCCCAGTACTGCAATTTATATAGTGATGCTTGTTTTTTTTTTTTATAACCATGTATGGATACCGCTAAGATTCAGCCAATGCTAGTCTATTAAAACTGAAGCACCAGATCCTTGAATTCTACCTTCCATTTATATTGCTTATTTCATACTAAGCTCTTCAGCACTCATCTCATCATGAAAATGATAGAACTGGTAAGGTTGAAAAGGAAATTACAAAAGATTTCAATGAAGACTCTCGAAAACAATGTCATAGTCACAATTAAACACTTAAGAATACACAGAGATACATTAAGCAGCAATAATGAATTGAGAAAAAATATTTGTAGACACAGTGATGAGATTTCTTTAAATACAAGTGTCATGGAAATGGGAGACTATAGATCCAATTCACTAAAATCAGCAGGGGCTTGGTCATTGAGTTTAATCTTAAAAAGCCTTCTCCTTTCAAGGAATAACAGTCAGTGATGCCTGAGTCATAAAAGAACTCCATAAAAAAAAGGAAGAATAAAAATAGAGGAAAATGGCAAAATCAAATAGAATTAAATAAAAAATGATGAAAAATGAGTACTACTCAGAAATATATTAATCTGCCTGCTGCCAAGTGATGAGCACAGAAGAAAGCAGTTATGATTGAATACAGGAGTATGATGATGCAAAATATGATCAGAATAAAGAGACAGAATAAATGAGAACTAGACCATCAAGTTCACAAGAAGATTAAAGAATGGAATAGAAGAGAGAGAAAGTGGATGTGGAACCTTAAAGAGATATTTCAGAAGCTAGGACAAATGGAACATATGGAACTGAGGTTACTAAAGAAGGTAGCAGGCTTTCTGGGATGGTGGGACAATACCTAAGTGGGAAATTCTTCTAAAACAGTAATGAATCATTGCCTCAGTATTCACAAAGATGAGTACCAGAAAACAGAAGTCGATACATTTTTTTTCAGAAGAAACACAAAAAATATTGAAATCAAAACAGGTGATTAAAAAAAAAGTCTATTTTAACTTCAGAATAACATGATATGAACCCCAAAATCCCATAAAAAATGAAAAAATAGGATTTTGCAGACATATTTCAAACCTCTTGGAAAACAGTGATAGATATAGCTGTGATATGAGATTCTCAGTATCTAAGCAGGGGTCAGATTTTTTTTTCTTTTCCTTTCAAACAGCTGGCACCCTGTCTAGGTTGTAAATCAGGATGTTTGTGAGCTTATGAAAACCTTTTCTTATGCAGCTTTGTTTACTTAATTCCTATCATAAAGTGCATTTTATATCTTTAGAACATATGGTAAAGCATAATTCTTACATCCTTTCTTTATTTTTTCAAGTATTATTCACTCAATTTTAAAGAAAATGAAAAAAAAGGAAAGAATCAACAACTTGCTATCCAACACTTATATATCAGCTTTTAGATATACTGAAGTGCTTAAAAAATTAACATGCAAGGTAAGTATTCCTTTGCTTCTATATTTTGCAAAACACCCAGGCATTTTAAAAGGTTGGATAATATGTATTTCCATTTGTGTCTTTACTTACTGATGCTTTTCATGACTGCTCTTCTGATATATTATTATTCATTTTTAGTAGTTATATTAAATTCAGTACATTTTTTGCATATAGTACTAAAAAATATGTTTTTTTAATAAAGCGGTGAGAATCTACCAATAACGACACGAGAGCAAACAGGCCTGTCTTCTGCCTGCACACACAACAAAGTTTTCGGAGGCAGCTTCTGACTGTATTTCATTGGTTAGGACTAAACTACACTTTGCAAGAGAGTGTTTCTGAAGAAAAAAAAGCTTTTTTTTTTCTTTTCCTGAAAAAAAGACCTTTTAAAATTGCTATTCTCCATTCAATTTATTGGTCAAATTTTTCTAACTATGTGGTGAGAATGATTATTGATATCTCGTCATGCAGATGGCGGCAATAACTGCTCTAAGATTGGACATAAACAACACTATTTTACAATTCTTCCAATGTCTTACTAAGGACCAGGATCTGTTACAGTTGATGGACTTAACTAATACTACAAATTCAATAGCATCATCCAAAGGTCATTGTAAAGGGTGGAAATACTATGTTTTGTTGTGTTTTACACTTGTGGGATGTAGACAGGTTCTCGTGTACACACACACACACACACGGAGCCCTTATAGCGCTTCTGCTATCTTGCCATACGAGGTCCTAATCTCAAAGACTTGCAAATACTCTTAAATTTACACATTGTAAATACTTCACTGAAGTTGTAAAATCCAGACTGTATTTGAGACAATACATAACAATTATGAACTGTAGAGGCATAAGAAAACAGAAAGAGGAGGACACTGAACTCACTATGTTGCTGCAGAACGTGTTTTTTTTCTATATGAAATAAATGAAAAAAATCTCTGTTTTGGCTACTATTGGTTAACTGATTTACTGGGTATGAAAATTAATTATAAAAGAATCTTATGCAAGTAAGATTTTCTCAGGAAGAATGAGATTTTTGTTTTATTCATTAAAGAGATAATGTAAAGGTGATAAAACCAAGTAATCAGAGGCTATATGCCTTTTCTACTGCATGATAACAGTATTTTGATCATTTATCAAAATAAGGAATAGCTTAAATATTAACCAAACCTGATAGGCAAGTTAGATGGCACTATGCAAAAGACAAAAACAGATAAATTTCTTGTACTTTGTCAAGGGGTGTAGCAAGAATCCTCCACCCTGGCAGCACCTCTCAAACTGTACAGAGTACAGGAAGATGGCAATAGTGTTCTTAAATAAAGAAAACATTCTTTTTTTTTTTTTTGCCCTAGATTGCCAGCGCACAAAAAAAAAAACATTTTAGAGAGCACTATTAATATCACAGGAATACATGAAAACTAGGTATATTTTTATATATTCATGAAGAATACAAGTCTTCTTTTCTCGGAAGGCCCTTACCTCATTAGCTGTGTTGTGAGTGCCAACGATTCTGATGAAAGATGCAGGCTGTTTATCAAAAGTGATTGTTTGCCAGGATCTGCAAAAAATCCAAGAAAGCCATACAAAAAATATTAACCACAGTCACAACAGCTTACAGTAAAATATATAGAGAAGCAATTCAAATGACAGCACAGGCGATCACTTAATGGGACAAACAGAAAAACACTTTCCAAGGCCTGAATTTGCAGCACTCCTTGTTCTCCTTTATTTTTAAGCTAATTGTGTTTTCTTGCATAACTCGCTACTGTAATTTATACACTAGACACATATCTACAATACTTATACTATTGCTAAAACTTAATATTAACAGAAAAAAATCAAAGCCTAACTCTCTTGACCCTATTACTAGCACACAAGCAGAAGGAAATGCATCCATCTATGAACTGCTTCTGAGACCTGCATGTGAGAAATCCTGAGCACCTCGCTCCAAAGCCAGAGGCTTTTTTGATAAAACAACCAAGCTGGGAACACTATAGTCTTCCTCATTCGTAATCTTTGGATTTGGGTGAGGTACAACATGTCTAAAGTGGTCTAACAAACAACAGGCAAAGGACTCTTGATTCCCATCATACTCTTATGTTTATGGAACATACTGGCAGTAAAACAGAAGAAGTAAACTAGAATAACACAAATTCAGTTTTATGACGGTTTTCCATTACCCTAATTATGTTAGAAGTATTATTTTTTTTAATTCATAAAACACGAAAGCAAGATACAAAACTTAACTTTCAACAGAATTAGACTCTATAACCAGTGATAAAATATAGTTAAATATCATGATGCACTTAAAAAGAGGAAAACCATTAGATAAAGTTTTCCTGGATGCATTCAAAATTCTTCCGAAAGTGTTCACACGAGAGATAAAGGCCAAAAAACAAACAAAAAAAAACCCAAAAAAACCAACCTAGAACAGAACACCATATAGTGAAGTCTGAATTGGGACTACAGGAATTATCTACACTGTATTTTTGTTCTTTTTACCTCGAAGTAAAATAGACTCCCACAGACGAATGGCTGAGAAAACTAAGTAAATGTAGCACTATTTCTAAGGAAAAGTTATTGCCATAGCATACATTAATGCTTTTACTCCTAAACATGTACACTTTATGCAAGAAAATGTGATGAAGTGAAAATGAGATTTCCCTATTTAGTGATTTGGAAAATATACTAAAACTTCTAAATGAAAGAGCTTAAAATCCTAAGAAAGTTCTTAAGAATTGTCTTTGTCATCCTAGCCTCTAAGCTAGAGTTTGTGTCCTATGATTGGAAAAAAAAAGGGTAATTAGGGATCATGGAACAGAATTTAGATGATCATATATTTATTTCTAGTGCTTCTGAGTGCTGGTCCAATAACACTGCCAGAGTTCAGCATGGATTTTCCAAAGATGGAGGAAAATGACCCATCCAACCAGTCATACAGCTTTGGAAGTCACTAAGAGGCTGTAAGTCATAGAATCATAGAATGCTTAAGGTTGGAAGGGACCTCTA